GGGAGGGAGGGAGGGAGCAGGTGAGTGAAGGAGCGAGGGAGAAAGTAAGTGAGGGAGGGAATAGGTGAGTGAGAGATACAAGGGGCAGGTATGTGAAGAAGGGAGCAGGTGAGGGAGGGAGGGAGGGGGTAGGTATGTGAGGAAGGGAGCAGGTGAGGGAGGGAGGGAGCAGGTGAATGAAGGGGCCAGGTGAGTGAGGGAGAAAGCAGGTGAGAGCCTGGTATTCTGCCTGCCTTCCTGACTGTGGTATTGTCCTAGGGTCACAGCACGGCATGGGTGTGCAGGGCTCTTTCATGGAGCAGGGTTTCCAATGACTTCACCTTTGGACCAAACCCTCCCCATCAGAGCCTTGCTCCATGTGGAAAACAATCACCCCTCTTTTATGTAACATGGTAAACCTTTCCATGGTAAAGAGTCTTAAATGTACTAGACCCTTCCTGGTAGCTCCCTTGTTTTCAATAAAAGCTCACCAAGTACCCATTATGTGCAACCAGGGCTGGGGCAGAGGTATACCTTGGCTTCTATTCCCAAGGGAGATGGCAAAGAGGAAGACCCCTGGGCCGTACACGTGGGGTCCCTAAGACCCCACATTATTTTTGTTCTCAAAGCTCTCCAAGCCTCACAGTATGTGGGGCCATGCTGTCTCCTCTCCTTGCACCCCTGACATGATAGGCCTTCAGAAAAGCAAGAAAGTCCGTGCACTAGGACCACCAGCCTCACAGGTCCCCTGGGCACAGCCAAACTGAGGCTTCAAAGTCCATGTCTCTGCCCAGAGCTGCATCAAAGTATGTAAGACCAAAAAGAAAGAACCACTGGAGGGGACATCAGCACCATCCTGGGCACCAACCAACACTTGAAGGGGCACTCAAGTGAGACATGTCCAAGGCCACCCACTCTGTCTTGGCAGCCAGGGGTAGGGACACCCCTGAAACCACAGGACACTGGGGCTCACTCACCACGCAGCTGGGTCGTACTCAGCCCAGACCCGGATGAACTCGTCCAGGTGGTGAGGCCCAAGGATGGAAGAGTCTCGAGTTAGGTACTCAAAGTTGTCCATGATCACAGCCACAAATAGATTTAACATCTGCAGGACAGAAAGAAGAGGTGATAGGGAGACTGCAGCCTACCCTCATCTTCCAGCCAGTCTGTGTATGGGAACCCTGGAGACAGTAATGATCACTCTGCTTCAACCAGCTCCAGACAAGACTGGCTCCTACCTTGGACTGGGGATGCCAGTCTTGCACTGGGACTGCTGGGTCTTCCTCGGCCTCCAGGGCTCTCAATCCTGCACATTTAGTCCCCAACATTAGTCTGCTGGCAGCTCTGCTCTCTCCTTCTATTGCCTTTTCCTAATTTAGGTCCCATAATCTCCTGCCTATCATCCACCCTGCCATCCAGGGTGTCATTTGTAGTGTCATTTGCCCAATACTACCATGGTCACCATCTCCTCAGGTGGCCTTCCCTGAAAGCGGTGATTTCAGGGAGTTGGGAGTTTGCGAACCACAAGTCAGCAGCTTGTGGGGATTTGTTCCTAATTAAGTTGAAATTCACTTAATATGCAATTCATCATTTTAAAATGTATGATTCAATAGCATTTAATGCAATCACCTATTGCACCACTATTTTCTCCAAATCTAAAAAAAAAACCCAAACATTATATCACTCTTGAAAGACACTCAACACCCATTGAGTAATCATCCCTCATTCCTCCCTCCCCCATCCCTGGCAACCACCAATCGCCTTCTGCCTCAATAGATTTGCTTATCCTGGTTACTTCCTATGAAAGGAATCACAAAATATATGATCTTTTATTTTTTCTGATATAATTAATTTTAATCAATTTAAACAATGATAAATTTGCTCTAATATATCTTTAGTTTTTTATTTTATTGATACATCATTGTTTTACATAATAGTAGGATTTGTTGTCACGTTTGTACATGCATACAATAACAATATAATTTCCCTAGTATTTTCCTTTGTCTCCTTCCTCTCTCCCCTGGTTCCTTTCCTCTACTTTACTGATCTCCCTTTGATTTTCATGAGACTCCACCATCACTTTTTTTCCCTTTATCCTCTAGCTTCCATATATGGAAGAAAACATATAACACTTGACCTTCTGAGTTTGGCTTATTTTACTTAACATAATGTTCTCAGTCCCATTCATTTTTCTTCAAATGACAAAATTTCATTTTTCTTTATGGTTGGACAAAACTCCATTGTGCGTGCGTGCGTGCGTGTGTGTGTGATACTTTCCATATATATATACCATATTTTACACACACACACCATATTTTCCTTACTTTTTTATCTGTCAATGGACACCCAGACTGGTTCCATAGTTTGGCTATTGTGACTTGTGCTGCTATAAACATGGTTGCATATTTTTTTAATCTTTATTTTATTTATTTTTATGTGGTGCTGAGGATTGAACCCAGGCCCTCGCATGTGCTAGGCGAGCGCTCTACCGCTGAGCCACAGCCTCAGCCCCAAACATGGTTGCGTATTTATCACTGTAATATGATGACTTTAATTCTTTATACCAAAGAGTGGTCTAGCTGGGTTGTATGGGAGTTCCATGCCTAGTCTTTTGAGTAAACTCCATACTGATTTCCATAGTGGTTGTACTAATTTATAGTCCTACTAAGAGTGTAAAAGTGTCCCTTTTTTTCTGCATCCTCTCCAGCATTTGTTATTTGTATTCTTGATGGGTGTCATTCTAACTGGAATGAGAGGAAATCTATCCACTTTTGATTTGATAAATATGTTGAACATTTTTTCATATATTTGACCATTTATATTTACTCTTTTGAGAAGTATCTATTTAGCTCATTGGCCCATTTATTAATTTTTTTTCCTTTGGTGTTAAGCTTTTTGAGTTCTTTGTATATTCTGGATATTAATCTTCTGTCAGATGAGTAGCTAGCATAGATTTTCTCCCATTCTATATATTCTCTCTTCACATTCTTGTTTTCTTGGATCCATCGATAAATATCAATTCTTGGTATTACTTCCTGAGCTTTAGGAATCCTACTGAGGAAATTGTTGCCGGTATGTTGGAGTGTTAACCCTACATTTTCTTCAAGCAGTTGCAAAATTTCTGATCTCATTCCTAGTATTTGATGCACTTGGACTTTTGTTCAGGGTGAGTGATAAGGATCTTCTCTTATTCTTCTACATATAGATAACCAGTTTTCTACACACCACTTGCTAAAAAGCTGTCTTTTCTTCAGCATGTTTTTGGTGCCTTTATCAAGGATCAGATGACTGTAAATCTGTGTGTTTGTCTCTGTGTCTTCCATTCTGAATCATGGACCTATGTGTCTGGTTTTATGCCTGTGTAGTTTTTGTTACTATAGCTCTGTAGTATAATTTGATCAGGTATTGTGATACCTACAACATTGCTTTTCTGGCTTAGAACTGCTTTGGCTAGCCTGGGATTTTCATTCTCTCAAATGAACTTTAGGACTATTTTTCTAGTTTCATGAAGAATGTCATTGGTATTTTGATGGGGATTGCATTAATCTGTATGTTGCTTTTGGTAGTATGGCCATCTTAACACTATTAATTCTGCCAATTCATGAACATGGGAGGTCTTTCCATCTTCTAAGGTCTTCTTCAATTTCTTTCTTCAATGTTCTGTAGTTTTCATGGTAGAGATGGTTATTCACCTCCTTGGATAGGTTTATTCCTAGGTTTTGTGGGGATTTTTGAGGCTATTATAAATAGGATTCTTTTCTGATTTCTTTCCCAGCAGATTCATCATTGGTGTATAGAAAAGGTATTGACTTTGGGATATTGATTTTGTATCCTGCTACTTTGCTGAATTTGTTTATCAGCTGTAGCAGTCTTCTGGTGGAGAGTTTTTAGATCTTCTAGGTATAGTATCATATCATCTGCAAACAGTGATAATTTGACTTCTTCCTTTCCTATTTGGATCCCTTCTATTTTCTTCCCTTGCTTAATTGCTCTGCCTAGAATTTCCAGGACTATATTACACAGGAGTGGTGAGAGTGAACACCTTGTCTTGTTCCAGACTGTAAAGGAAATGCCTTCAGCTTTCCCCACTCACTGTGGAGTTGGCTTGAGTCGGTCATAGATAGCCTTTGTGATGTGGAAGTAAGTTCCTTTTCTTATGTAGGCAGGCACTCATAGCTATAGACTTTCCTCTTATACCCATCTTCACGGTATCCCAAGGGTTCTGGTATATTGTATCACTGAATTCTCATTTGGTTCTAAGATAAAAATTTCTCTCCTGATTTCTTCTATCACTCATTCATTATTTAATCTCCATGTTTTTATGGTTTCTGTAATTTTTTCTTGGTATTGATTTCTAATTGCATTCCATTATGAAATGATAAGATGAAATGGAATTATACAATTTTAATGTATTTGTTAAGTTGGCTTTGTGTCCTTCTTTGGAAGCAGCTGAGAAGAAAGTGAATTTGGCTGTTATTGAGTAAAATATTCCACAGATGTGTGTTAAGTCCTTTTGATTTGTATGTTTTTAGAGCCAAAGAGTCTTTACTGAGTTTATGTCTGGATAATTTATCTATTGGTGAGAAACACATGTTGAAATTACCTAGTACTGGGGTCTATTTGAGTCTTTATGTTGAGTGGTATCTATTTTATGTAATTAGGTGCACCAACATTTGGGATATAAATATTTAATATTGTTATATATTTTCTTGTTGGATTGAAATTCTCTTTATCTCTTCAGATTATTTTGATTTGAAGTCTGCTTTGTCATATATGAGAGTAGTTACTCCTGCTTGTTTTCAGGGTCCATTTTTGTGGTTTTACTTTCTGCCTGTGGCTGTTTTTGCCTGTAAGGTGAATCTCTTACATACAACATATAGTTGGGTCTTGTTTTCTGATCCATTCTTCCAGCCTGTGTCTTTAAGTTGGAGAGTTTAGACTTATATTTGATATTAAGATAGATGTTTATTACTTCCTGCTACTTATATTTCCAATGTTTAATTTGGTTCTATTTCTCATTTGCTTAGCTACTTTTCAAATAATATTTTTCCATTTGAGAGCTCTGTGATTTGGTTTTTATTTCTTCTATGTATAGCATTTCTTTAAGTACTTTCTGTAGTATCAGCTTAATAGTTATGACAGTTATGAATTGTTTTAGTTTCTGTTTATCTTGGAAGGTTTCTATTCCTTCTTTGATCCTAAAGGGTAGCTTTGCTGGATATAGCAATCTTGGTTGACAGTTACTTCTTTCAGAGCTTGGAACACATCATTCCATTTTCTCCTGGATTTTAAAGTTTGTGTAGAGAAATGAAAAGGGATTCTGACTGGCTTGCCTATAAATGTGACCCAACATATTTCTCTAGAGGCTTTAAAAATTCTATCCTTGCTCTGTATGTTATGCACTTTAACTATAATGAATCATGGAGAGGTTCTCTTTTGATTTCGACTATTGAGGTTTTGAATGCTTCCTGTATCTGAATGTCTACCTCCTTCCCAAGGTTTGGGAATTTTCTGTTATTATTTCCCTGAAGAGGTTATCCATGCCATTAGTCTGCATCTCACAACACTCTTTTTTTTTAAGAGAGAGAGAGAGAGAGAGAGAGAGAATTTTAATATTTATTTATTTATTTTTTAGTTTTTGGCAGACACAACATCTTTATTGTATGTGGTGCTGAGGATCAAACCCAGGCCACACACATGCCAGGCGAGCACACTACCGCTTGAGCCACATCCCCAGCCCTCATAACACTCTTTGAGTTCAATTATTCTTAAATTTGGTATTTATGTCCAAGATTTCTTGCAAATTCTGGTCATGGTTACTTATTTTCTTTTCTTTAATACTGTCTGAATGTTTGAGGAAGACCACTGTGTCTTCCAGCCCTGAAATTCTGTCTTCAGTCTGGGCTACTCTTTTACAGACTATCAACTGAACTTTTTATTTGACTTATGGTACCTTTCATTTCCAAGATTTCTGTTTGTTTGTTTTCAGCATCTCTATCTCCTTTTGAATTTTTCATTCAGATCTTATATTGACTTCCTTAATTCATTGAGTTGTTTTTCTTTGTTCCCTTGGAAGTCATTGGTTATTTTTATAATCACAAGTTT